CACGGCTAGGGCTCGGGTGATGTGCAGTCTACTGCAAAAGTAGTACTAGCAGTAGTAGTAGTAGTAGTAGTAGTAGTAGTAGTAGCAGTAGCAGTAGTAGTAGTAGTAGTAGTAGTAGTAGTAGTACTCGTACTAGTCGTAGTAGTCGTAGTAGTAGTAGTAGTAGTAGTAGTAGGAGGAGGAGGAGGACAACCAAAACAGTACACGATGAACGATTACACAGGTGTACACTCGACCACGCCCCCGAAACGATCCGTAGGGGAGCCTTCGGCAAGACAGCACTTGGCACCCTCTGCCGGTATGTCAAAACGCGTATGTTTCGGCGTGATGGGTATTAGGTGTTGAGCATGATCGGCTGGCGGCTTCAGGGTCAATGGGAATTGAGGAAGACTTGAAGCCGCCGTCGCGGACTCTATCTCCTCAGGGTGGCTGGGAAGTAGCGCATCAACAGAGACCCGAAATGTCTATTGCGATGAACTTACGCATGGCTTGACAAATTCCAACGTAGACCCCGCACCCTGAAGCTTCCAAGACCACCCCATCAACACTTTGACGGGAGCGCGATTTCCACCCGAATTGACGATGAACTTACGCACCGCCTCACAAAGAACTCAATTTGCTGCGATCAAGCCGAAAGACACGAGGCCACCTTAAATGGAAGCGGTTGGACTGTGGAACCCCCGAATGGTGACCTTTGCTTATACCTGGTTTTGTACAAACGGCTCAGGCTCAAGCACTTGCAAGCGTTCGCTCTCATCTCGTTGCTTTCGGCATGGTTGGTTCAACATGGCTTCTGTCAATGCGGCAAGATGCCGGGCCCAAAAAACTCACTCAGTTGCTTTCTATTGCGAGAAGTATACATCTTCCATAGTCTTTGCTTTGGCCAGCACCGTATTGATCGGCTTTGCATGTTTGCAGGTGAGAGTGGCTCGCTCTTGCTCTTGATCTGCTGCTTTCCTTTGGTCCGGCACCGCCATGTGCCAAAGCTTCCTTGCCATACAGTACCTGTGCTCTTCACGCCCATACATGTGTTGTTGAGCCTGAGTCGCCTTGCACACAATCTCACTGCAGCAGGCTTCCAACTTCAACCATCTCACACTCCGACATCACAGTGCGAGTCCAGTCGTTTGTTCGTCGTACCACGGTTGAATCATATTGTAAACTGGGAGTGTGAAAGTTGCCCCGAGTACCGATTCTTGTGCAACCAGCAATGCCGAACAAATGGTCTCAGATTGTTGGCTTGGCTTAGTCCCCCAGACTCAAAAGAACCGAACCAAAAGCACTTTTCACTAATGTGCTTGAAAAGACCCCCTGTCCTGCGATGCAGAGGCGACGCTCCTCGCGAACCCGGTCGGCTGCCTGGCCTAGCACAAAGTTGCACGTCGGGCAGCAGAGGCTCGTCTTCCCCCCGCATGCGCATGCATCGGCGCCTTAGTCCAACGGCTCCTGAAGAAGGGCTCCGCCTAAGTCAGCATAGGCTGAAACAGCCGGACAGTCTTGAAGGGTTGTGAGCATCATGCCCCATTTGTGGAGACGGGAATGCGCCTCGGGCGGCGAGCAATTCAAATGGAGCAAGAGATCAGCTTGAGACCCTGGCCGCCCTGGCCACGGAGGCCGTTTTTGTCAGGTCCGGCTACCTTGAGCAGCTCACGGTCAGCACGGAACTCCACCGGCAATCTCATGTTTGATAGCACAAGCTCATAAGCTCATAGGCCCCCGGACAGAAGGAGTCCTGGCAAACACTCGGCACTCCGACTGACCATTTAAGTGCACTGGCAGCGCTGCATCGAACCGGACCAATCTCCAAAGCTCGGTGCAAGCTCACTTCTGCAAGGTCGGTTCATCCTACCTCATAGGTGAGCCGCCCCTCGATCCGGGACCTCGTAAAACGCGATAGCAACTGGCAGCCGGATCAGCCGACAAGTACAACCTCATCCTCAGCCTGAGCCAGATGAGCAATGGGCCATCGCGTCGGCGTCGGACTTTCGTTGCTTGGTCCTCCAGCATCGCTTCAAAGAGCCATGATTTTGCATGCTCAAGATCTCCTCATTCAGGGCAGGCTGCAGCTAGTGATCTACGCGAATACGACATGGATCTACAGGAGATGTGGTTGCGGATCATGCTCAAGTCTGGCAGCCAAATCTTGGACCTCCTTGGAGAGCCAGGTGTTGGGCCTTGCCGTAAGCTCGTTCTACAAACTCACCCAGAAAAGTGCAAGGATGCAGCCGCACTTTGCTCGGCTTCTCACTTCAAGTCGATGATGATGCGACCCTCCCCATCGATCCGCAGGACCGTAGCAGGCAACCAATCCTTGAAGCTAGCGTCTTGCGCCCGCACATGAGATCTGCACGTGCAGGCAAGTATTCCAACCCAGAGATGCGCTTGAGGAGGAAGCTCCATGAGACACGGAGTAGTACTCGACCATGTCGTTGGTCCTGTAAGGACCTGACATCAGCATGTCACGGTGCATCCTGGTGCCCTGGCACAACTCGCTGGGGTCTGACTTCCAGCTTGCGACCAGCCCGCCTTCCAAGCTTGATGGTTCGCAAGAAACGGGTACGTTTGTGCGTGCACGTGCAAGACTGTGCCCCGAACACTGTTAGAGGAAGCTGGCTCTGGATGTGGCTCTACCGCAGCAGGATCATCAGCCGCCTGGCACAGCAGCAGGGGTCCCTGTGTTCTCGTCATGTGCGGCCGGACACCTGGGCAGCCTCTTGTGCTTCATCGAGCATGAGCTGCATTATCTCCCGCAGCCGTGGCCTGCTGCGCGGACTCGCGTGTCGTTCATGGTTAAGTCAATGGCGAAGCATGGCGAAGCCATGCCAAGCCACTTCGCCAAGATCTCCTCTGGACTTGGCCGCCGCTCTGGGTTCCTGCACGGACGGCTGCATAGTTCTTGTGCCCAATACCGCGGGGGACAGGGGTGCGGATTTGGGCGAGGTGGAGGAAGTGTCCTACGGGCGCCTGTTTGGGAAGGAGAAATGCAGTGCTCGTGGTAGCCTGGAGAACACGATGCCAAGCCTACGTAAAAGGAGCCAGGAGATAACCGAACAGCCCACAAACCACCAAAATGCCGACCCCCCTGCTGCTATCCGAGCTGCTCAGATGCGATGCAGGGAAACACCAGGTCTAAAATCTTAAGGCAATGATCAACGACATCCACACAACACATTGCAGTCTTTTGGGAATACATGGCCACCATTCTCTCGATGATCGAACTCGCCTGTTCAGCATCTGGCTCACGAGCTCCCTGACAAACGGCGAGTAAGAAGCGGGCCTGAGTCGTACAATTTCTAGCGTCAACGGATTCATAGGCTCGCTATGACTGCCGTGCTTTGGCAACACGGAACTGCTGGGCAGCAGTCACGCTGGGGATTGTTCCCCGCACCTTGACACGGCACGCACCGAAACACCTCTGCATGAGGACACTGTCTTCTTGAGCTGCACTTGGCTACTAAAATCAGGGCGGTCAGAGAAACCGCACCCCAATGCGAACAAAAACATGTCCAGAATGGATCTCGGCCCAGCATCTTGTACAAATTTTATGTGGCATGGAACTGTTTTCGGGCGCTGCTGAGGTTGTTGGGCTGTGCACGGATGAAAAACTCGTTTCTGGGTCCGGTGCTGGTGGTTCAGGGGTCGGACTTTCAAAATGTTGAAGCCACAAGACAAGAGAGTGGGTGGGCTGCTTACATGGATCGAAGGCTTGCATTGCAAAAAACACAGCAGCATCTTGCTCGACTGTGGCAACGTGCTGGCAGGCGACAGCTCCATGGACAGGAAGTATCACGTGACATCCGCGTGTTGAAGGCAATTACCACACACGAGAGCTCAATCTGAACGTCCTTTTGCTTCCGGGCCTACAGCATCCCACACCTGTATGCAAGCATGCTTGGCTGTTGATGCGGTTTGGGCTTCGAGCAAGCGCCCACGGTTCAAGTGTGTGTATGTGTGTGTGTACAAGTGAGTAGGTAAGTAAGCAAGCAAGTGTCTGCCTGTCTGTCTGTCTGTCTGTCTGTCTGTCTGTCTATTGCTGTCGTTGTCTGTCTGTGTCTGTCTGTGTCTGTCTGTGTCTGTCTGTGCCTGTCTGTGTGTGCGTGTGTTCTTGACTGAAGGAAACAAGGGTCATACCCGAGCGTGCTGAACCCCATGGCCGGTCATCGCCTGCGTGGTGCATGGTGGCCCATGGGTGGGGCCTGCTATGGATCGGGATAACCAACCCTAAGAACAGAACCGGCAAGCAGCAAAGCACGCAGAGCATCTGTTTTCGCGCAAAAGCTGAGTGACGTCACTTGAGTGCGGCGAGTCGACCGGGGCTGGATTCCACAGGCTCGTCTGAGCTCGCTCTCTGCACATGACAAGTCAAAGCACATGACATCATGAGGTAATCTTCACACCTGCATGGTCTACGGGCAGTTATGCGGCTGTCTGTACCGCGAGCCCGTCAGTTTTCATGCAGCAAAAACACTTGCGCCCTGCCGTTCACAACGAAGCTATGGGGGCAAGTGGGAAGGCAAGGCACGTGCTCTCCCATACCTGCTACTTCAGTGGAGGACCTGGGCTACAAATTGAAGCCACCATGTCTGCTGGCAGCCGTTTCATGACCCATCCTGCGTCAGTGCTCAGTCAGCGGTTCGCCGCATGTGCTTCCATCATGAGCGTCAAGGATGTGCCCAAAAGCGCATATGTCTGTGTGTCTGCCCGCCCTGCGTTGTTGGCAATTGTTCACAGCGCAGGTGGACTGAAGGAAAACACCTGTCTATACCTATCTTTTGAGCGTGATTTGCTGGGATCACCTGCGTGCAAGCTTGTGTGCAACCTACTCGCTGTGCCTTGCTTCCACTGCTTCAGAGCAAACCTCTTCAAGGAACAACAAGTTGCTTATGCGTTTTGATGCATAAGCTTGCAGTCCGACAGGACTGCTGCAGTATCGTTGATCTGTTTTGCAAATCAACGTCGGACGGCGCAGCACAAACAACTTCGCCTCGGCCTCGGTGAAAACCAGTCAGACGTTCCCTCTTTCTGGAAAAAAGACTCTTCGTAGTTTGCATTGTACAACATTGCGCAGCAAGCCAGTCGAGCGCCTCTGTGCCTACCCGGACAACTCAGCCTGGAGAGTCTTTTCTCTCCGGAGATGTACTAAATCACTACATCAGACGACCGTTCAAAGCTCCGGATGTGCTACCAGTTGCTGCTATACCCGTCTTATGCATGCAAGGGCTCATCTGCTGCCCTAAGTGGATAGGCAGACCTGCCTGGCTCCCATGTAGGCAAAGCTTGCGTTCAGACACTTGACGTTTGTTTAACTTGATGGCTTAGAAGCCTGTGGTGTTCTGGGCAGATGTTTCGGGCAAAGGCAGAAACGAATCGGAAAGCCGCGAAGCAACATGAGCAGGCCGATTGCGAGAGTCATGGGTCTAAAGCACGAGAGCAGGCCACTGAAGAATCTGCACAAATCCAGAAAGTGCCTTCTAAGACTCAGACAATCTCCCGAACAAGGCCTGGAATATTGGGCGCATCGAAAGGTACTTTGCGTGCACAAAGCCTTGGGACTCGGATGCCGGGATTGCCACAGGCAGGTAGCAAGCACACCGCCTTCGATATCTTGCAGCAGAGCAAGGGCCGGACTCATACAAAATGCATCCCATTGCCCAAATGTCCGAAGGAAAGTTGTATTCCCTGGAAGTGCGAGACACACGCGCGCACACATGTCCACATGCCCGCGTGCGTTGGATGAGGCCAGGGCTTTTCCTGACATAGTTCAGGGCTCAGGTAGTATGGCCTACGTCCGGGAGAAACATGCAATGGAGGTGCTGTGGCACGTCAACCACTTAGTCGCAAGCGTTCCGATCTGTGTCTTTGCGACAGCGATCGTGCAGGCAAGAACCTGGACATGAGCAGATGCAGTCCGAGTACTTCGCAGACCTGCACTTTCTCAGAAGCCGGCTTTTGCAATTCCAAAGTCCCCCATCTTTAAGTTCCTGTGCACCGAGAAGGCAACACGAAAAACAATGTGAGCTGCGCAACGTCACCCAAACCCCTCTTGTCCCGCTCTTCGACAAAAAGAAATTCGACGGCCTCGGCGAAGCAACATCCCGTTTCTCAAAAAGACTCGACTAGGATGGCGAGGTCCGAACTTCAAGTCTCGATGCAGAACGTGCTTCTTGTGAATGTAGTCTAAAGCCATGATGGCCTGCACAAACCTTGCACTTATCAGCTAAACCATCACGGAAACTCCAATGATGTTTCGGAGACTTAGCTGGCGTACCAGCGCAGTATTTGGTCCTCAGAGAGAGGTTTTCTGCCTCGTTTGGCCTTGGAACAGGCTCATGCAGGCTCAGGTCTGTGATCGAGAGAATGGAGAACCATGATCGCCTCTGCGATGCGAGCTGTGAGATCACCTCCCTCGCAGTAGTCCATGAGGATGCACAGCCTGGCGAGACACATATCTACTGATAGGCTTATCGATCGGCATCAAGCAGTGCAACTTATTTACTGCGTGCCATCCACTCTCTGTGAAGCTTTCGCGGTAGCGGACGATGTATGGATGCTTCCTCAGTTAGACGAGCAAATGCAAATTTGTCTTCCTGACTCGCTTTCGAAGGCTCTTTAAGAATCAAGCAGTTCGGACAGCAACTTGCCCTCCTTGACAGCATCCTGCACAGTCGTCGCAGAAGCTAAAAGTTACTGACTGTCCATGGCAGCCACCAATACCCTGCCTCACAAGTAAACTGTGAACGATACATCTGTGCAAAGGCGAAGAATCAGAAATTCGGCCAACACCCCTTGGAGCCAACTCCCCAATTTACTTTCTTGCATCGCGGCTATGCTTCTTGAATGGCCTGTCTAGGCCTCCAGGACTCGAGGACTCTAGGTATCTGTGCACTGATCATGGGGCAGCCTCTTGCCAGCGCTCGCATGCGAAACAAAAAGACTGAGAAGCAGTTCCAAGAAAGTGCGTCCTCCATTTCTTTTCGCGAAGCTTTGCTCACATCCACCATTTTGCAGATTAACTTCTGCCCATCCTGCCACCCAGGGTCGCGAAGTGAAACGCACAGCATATGAACGGATCCCGCCTCCGAGCGCACGAGGAGTGCCTTCCCAAACGATCCCTCACCCACCTGCGCAGACTCAGGTCGTGAGCCCCTTGCCACCCTGTGATGGCGCTGGCAGCACCTTCTTGATTTCAGCATAGCCTTGTACCAAGGCAAAAGTTTGTCTGGTTGCAGACATGCTGTCACAGGGATTGCGATGAGGGCTAGTTTGTACTCAGGCCATGTCCATGCTTTCTCAGCAAGCCTGCAACATTGCCATGAGCAACCTCAGAGCACCGCATGGTGCAAAACGTTGAGTCGGCAGTACTAGTGCCAATCCATGTCGACGGTTGCTGTGTGTGTCGAGAACATGATTCGTACAGTTCTGCTCCAGTCAACTCGGTTTGGCTGCTAGCCAGAATCCTGCCGCCTGCGACGGATGGCTTCATACGTATGATGGCACCATGATACTGACCGAGTATGGCATAGACGGTATACATGCCGGGTCAAGGAAAACTGGTGCCGGTCTTGGAGACTGGCCGCCATGCTCTCACAGGCCTCAGCCCGACAAAATCTGCGAGAGCAAGCATCAGCGGTTTCTCCTGCAGCTCTGAGGCGAGGTCGACAACCGTCCAAGGCTATGAGAGCATGCTAAGACACTACACTTGGCCAAAGTTTTCCATGTCAATGTCAAAGACCAATTCTTCCGTCAAGGCTAGACTCGGCTAGACTATGTTCTAATCATCAGGAATGCAATGGCTCCAATGCAAAACAACAGCCTCCATCAAGCAGCCGAGCTAGATCACACTTAGAAAATCTGCGATAGCCTGACCCCTCCATTACACTACCCCTTTCCATGAGATCTTGAGCCACAGAGTGGAATTATATCGAAACTTCCGACTTTTTGCCCGCTGAACAGACACATTCCCTGGGTGCGCTGGAGGACGAAGCAAGTTTGGCATATTTTGAGTCTGAGTTTGGGCTCGGCGGTGGGTTGCTCATCTGCAACCTGCAGCACAGCTCCGTCGCTGCTCCCTATTCGGCGTTTTCTGCCACTGGCCGGCGGATGAATGGAAATGAACAAGTCTACATGCGAAAACAAGACAATCGTAAACCACTCCCCACGCAACCACCGTTAACAAGTGCACACGCACACACATCAAGCTTGTTTTCAACTGTTGGTCGTAGGGTCGCTCCGTTTGCTAACACCGAACTCTGTTCGGGGAAACTCAAACAGGCAGAAGACACCCACCTGACCTGGCCAACAAACGCCAGATACGTCCAACTTGCTGCGGCGCAGTTGCTTGCTGGGTGAACTATTAAGAGCTACTGCTCGAAGATGAATCTGAGCTCGAAGAGGCAGGGGAAGAGGATGACCCGGAAGAGCCCGACGGGGCCTTGCCAACATCGGGGAAGCTATGTTTGCATTTGCGACCCCTGTGGTTCGCTGGAACCGATTTAAACTGGGCATCGGCAGAAACGAAGGGCCAACGGCTTTGGGTTGAGCGGGTTCTGTGGCGTTCGGTCGGCCTAATCCGATTCGCTACCTGGACAGCTTCGGACTTGCGGGCTTTGTTTTGACCGTTGCACGAAAGTCCGGAGTCGGTGTGAAACTGACTCGGAAACAAGATGGAAAGCACGGTCATTGACGAAGGGCAACCGATTGCTGCGAGTCAATGGCTGCAGGCGGTCGGGTGCCTGGTCGTGGGCGGTCGGACCAAACAACATCAAGCCGTGTGCTTGACCCGGCAGGGGACCGCCCCAAAGAACCATCAAGCAACGGCATCAATTAGAGGCCAAGTAGCCACGGAAATGGTCAGCGGACGGGAACAGCTGAAGCTGTTGCGTTCCGGACAGCGTGGACCAATCCACTTCAAAGGCCTGTGACAAGCCTAAGTCGGAAGGGTTGTCATCACGGCTCAGCGCGTCCGCAATATCGTTAGAGATACCCGGGACATGATCTATATGCGCAGAAATGCGGGGCGGGGCCTTTCTTGCAGAGCGAAGAAAGCGCGGAGGACGGTGCACAGTCCCTTGGCCATGCTCAGACCCTTCCATGAGGCAGATTCGGACGCAGAGTTATCGGAGCGAAATACCACATGGACAGGTAAATGTCCCACACCGAGAAGCTGATGCAGCATCAGCAAAAGGGCACCCTGAGCAGCAAGCTCCCGCGTGGTAATGTAAGACTGTAACGAGCAGTCGGGCGGAAGCCATGGGAAAAATGTGAGCATCTGCATGCGAGAGAAAGTGTTCTGAAAAAGCAACTGCCGGGAGTCCGAGAGGCGGACGAAGCCACCCATGCCCACTGATTCGGGGTCGCCGCATGCGTCAGCAAAGACGGTGCCGCATTTAAAGGGAAGCATGAGAGACCGACCAAATCAAGCCACATACGTGCGACCTCACGGGAGGAGTCAACAATGTCACAAAAACGCTGCCACAAATCCGGAGAGACGGTGGTATGCACCGGAGTTAAGGAATGCTGATCTGAGTACAAAGCTGTGAAGGACGGGTGGAAGCACCGGAAAAGGGAAGAAAACCAAAGCAGTTTCCCTGTCAGTCGCTCCAGATCGCGGACTGAACAGTCAGTGTTAGCAAGGGCCGACCGGCGCGTGAGTTTCAGGATCCGAGCAGATTGTAAAGCAAGTGAAATCCATCTGCCACCCAATCCAGACCACGGTCGGAGCCAGAAAGCCTTTGCGCCAGCTCGTAGGATCTTTTAGGCAAAGGAGGAGAATGACAACGGCGGACGCCCAAAGCGGGGAGGACAACCTGTTGAGCAAGGAACCACATAAATGCGGCCTGAATGGCGGACACGGACAAGGCGTTTCAACAGACGGAGCAGCAGTCCAGCCGCACGTGCCCAATGGAAGCTTGACACACGGGCGTCCATGAGGCGGTTGGGACCTGGGGCCAACACGACCGCCAACGGCGGTGTGCTGGTGGACCTCGTCCCCTCCCACACCTTCGGTGACCCAACCCGGTTCCAGTTCCGTTCACAGCAATGCGTCGGCCACGCCAGGCTGACTCGCAATGCTGGAGGGATCAGGAGGAGGGACTGGCGGGTGCATAACCGCGCAAGGTGGAATCAGACAGTCGACGCCGAAGGGCACCCAAACGTGAAAATCGGGGTCAGCAGACGGAGAGTAACGCCGACCATGTGTGATCGGAGTGAATCGGAGTCGACATGCAGAAAAAATTGGAGATCGGACAGACATGACTGGAGCTCCTCTTCCGAGAGAGGGTCGGATTTGCAGACTGGCAGAGATGGTCTGGTGGAAACCAAAATCCAGCAAGCCAGAAACCCAGAACTTGCGCAGAGGGCCCAGAATGCCGGAGTAGGGGACAAGCTGGTTGCCAACATGCTTGAGACGGAATCAAGGAAGTCCAAGATCGTACGGGATGAGAATCGACGCCATCGTCGATGAAAGGCGCCGCCAGTTCAGCTAGCTTGAGCGCAAGTGAATCGGTAACGAGCGGTCCGCCGCGTAAGGCAGGCACCATCGGGCCCACGATGACCCGAGAGAGACGGAAGAAAACCCAACGGGCGGGGGGACACCGATGCAAGTGCTTGCACGGCCGGGGTGGCCAAGAAATCCAGGAGGCGATTGCCCACTGCAAATGCATTTCGGGATTGCCGGAAACCTGGCAGCCCCTGAACAAAATGGAAGAGGCACCCAAAGATGACATGATATCGGAACAACGGCGACCCAGAACCTCCACACCATGCTGGACACGGCCGGAAGTAGAGGCCACCACGTAGGCGAAGGGGCCGATACCCTGCCGACACACAGCAGTGCGGGGCCGAATACTCCTCATTCTCTCGAGGTCGGCATGAGTCAGTTGTTGCAACAAGAAGTTGGGTGTCACCCTTGAAACCAAAATGGCCACTTGGCACACCTTCATTAAAACCCCGCCATCCACGCTAACAATTGTCACATCAACACTGCGAACATGCCTTATTCTCCAATCCTACCAGGCTTTTACACCCTGACTGTGGTCGATTCAGTCGTGGAAGGCATTAGCAGTGTCGGACTGTGAAGTGAGCTCAGTTGAGGTTGTGCTGTGAGAGTGGCCATGTGGGCACTGTCGGCTGTGGGGAAGCACGCTCCTCTAGCCCCAGGAATGCAACGACAAGGAAGACCACAGCTTTGCTTCTTCTCGCCCCCACCAACTGAGTCTCTGTTGATTCGCACCTCTGCAATCTGCATCTCTAGATGCGCCAGAAGAGGATCGAAGCTCATTTCCTCAAGGTCCTCCGGTGCACATGCCCCAGGTTCTTTCGCTGTCCACAGAGACCGGGAATGCAAGCAATGGCCTCTGCGCATGCGACCAACTGTCTTCCCTGGCGTGAGCTATGGTCTACAGAGAAACGGAAGTGATGTTCTGCCTCCCGCAGTTCTCTTTGGAACAGCAATTCCTGTAAGGCAGCAAGGACCCGAGGCTCGTGTCGGAGCTGGCGTGTGTGGTGAAAGCCCTTGAGGTGAGCGCCAATCTTGGGAAGATCTTGCAAATCTCCTCCGAGTGTGGTTGTCCGTGTTCGACAATGTTGACTGCGATACAAACCCTTGCAGGGATCACAGATCCAAACAGACTCTGCTCCTGCAAACTCTGCTTGATGATTGCCCGCTGTCCCGCAGACCAATCTGCTAGGAGGAGCAAGCATTGCTGCCTCTGCACAGACATGGGCATCAGACTTGATTCTGAAAGTGTACCATGCATCCCATGCTTTTTCCCGACACAGCGGCCATGCCTCGTACACTGGAACCGTTGAGCAGTCGATGAACACACCTTGCAGTCCGGCAGTCCGTTGCGCACTGTGTTGGCGTCTCCAAGGCTTAAGGTCTGTGCTTCCAACCCGAAGCAGCTTTGGGTGTAAACATCCTGATGCGCGAAATGCCGTGGAGTCTTGACGTGGAACACGACATTGAAAGATGCTGACGCCTCCTTGCCGTGCAAATTGATGATGTGAACTTGCGTCCTGGCAGCAATCACGCAAATGCGTGAAACGCCAATCTGTTCCACTCCAACTTGCGACAGTAGCACGGCTCCCCGTTTTCAGTGAAAACCCGGGCGCGCACGCGACCTGAGAAGCATGCCAGGAGTCATACACAGAGTGCCAGGATATGCCACGATCTCTCAACTCGGGAGGCCAGAGGCCAGGCAGCAGAAGCAAACTTAATTTTTCAGGGGCAGTCTCTCCTCTCTTTTCAGTCTTCGCCGCTACGGCCCTTAACCCGGACAGGTCTGCTGCGAGGAGCTCGGCTGGGGAGGGAGCCTCGCCAGTCTGCCAGTTCAACTTGTCGGGATCCAGAGCTGTCCTGGCATCTCCGAAGTTGCCGCCTCTACTCTGGGCTAAGAGTGGCAGGCCTTCGTAGCCTTAACCCGCGGCTGCCCATGTTGATCCTTGAGATGAGCACGCCTTGGTTTTCCACTCGCTCAAGCCGAGCAGCACCGACTCTCCACTCGCACCTGTCGATACTTGCCAAAGCCTTTGCAGCATACGCTTTCCACTGCCTGACCACATCCGCATACAGCACGCATAGATGCTCTTCAGTTTGGCATGACTGCACTTCAACTCTACTACAGCCCGTCCTTTGCTGCTCGCATCCTACATTTACCTCGGTCAACCACGCCGCTGGTGCGCTGTTTCACACCCGCGGTGTGTGCCCACTCCGTGAGACTTCGAAGCATTTCTGAAACCATCGCTGTTGGGAATACCGTGACTATGATGACTGTGACTACGAGTTGCCCGGTCCGAAGTTTGAATGGTTCTCAGTGAAACATGGCAAGCCGTGCACTGTCAGCTTCCACTGCTGCACAAGCTCAAGTCACCAGTCTCCGTGACCTGCAAATCAGTGGCGATGCTGCTGAAAGACCTCGGGAAACCAGGCGAGGCCCCGCCCGTCCTCGCAAACCTGCTTGTCCCCTTCTGAGAGGATGAGCTAGAAGTGCAGTTCACTCCGCAGCCTGTGAAAGTTGTAAGACTCTGGCTGAGCAGAGAGCAACTCCGAGTTGGCACCTGCCAACAAAGCCTGGTCAGCATGCGAACACATGTGCGCAACCACTGTAATTAGTACTTACCCGGACGTCTTGACGCCTCTCGCCACACTGCGCAAACGGCGGGATTCTCGCGAAACTCGGTCGGCATCCCCTGCACGCTCCGACTTCGTGTGCCGTACTGTTAACATGCAGCAGTACAGCGGCCTTCTTCGTTTGCAGCATTAGTGCAGATGCCCGTTGCCTGGGTGTGCGTGCTCTCCTACTGAGTGCTTGACAGACACACAGCATCAGAGCAAACATTGCGCAGAGAACTAAGGTTGATGCCTGGCAGAAGCATCCAAGGAGCTAGCCTGCAAAGCTGGAAGGCTTGGGCGGCTTGACAAATTTTCAGCCTGCGGCCCTTGCCTCTGCATCTTTGCCTAGTTGGTGAAATAAGCGCCAGCCCTGTTGAAACGCCTGCGTCTGTTGATCCTGAGGTGCCAGCCGCATCACTGTCACGGTAGACTCCTATTGCTCCCTGCCTGTGGAGGAAGCCGCGCAGGGTCCAGCCTGACAGTGGTACCGGAGGAACCGAACTTCAATGGTCTCAGGTGCGCTTACCCCGGTTGCATCGGGCAAGATGCCACAGGAGCTGCATAGACCTTACACGATCGGCTTTGAAGGTAGGGATAGACAGCTGTTGTACAGCTTCCCTTCAGAGCTTCATACTTGGCCGGGCGATGCTTGGATCCTGACACATGACGTTGGCCGAACACTTATGCTCTTCACGTCGGACTTCTGAACTAAACCTGGCCTGGGTGACTTCTGCATAGCAGATTCCTGCAGGAAATGTACATTCAACACCTCGCGACTCCGAGACTCAGACACTCCGAGCTGAGTTGACCACACGCGCGGAAGGAAACAGATCTGACAGCAACACTTTGAACATTCCGCTCTCACCCACCGGGGTGCTGCACGCGGCATGCGCATGCTTCGCAGGCACAGCCGAGTCGGTACAATCTGGCCTGAGGAGGATGACGACGGCACCCTTGACAGCGTTAAGATTTTGGTGCCGTTTTGACAAGCTCTTAGCAGAAGCCGTCTCCGAGCAGAGCACAAAGACCACCTTCCGGGCACATTGCCTGGTGACAAGGCTGCGAAGACCAAGCGAGGGCTCCCGATCCCGCAACCTGGAGCCGTCGAACAAGGGCTCCGAAAGCGCGGCGGTGGACTCAAAGGCGCTGCCCAGACTTGTCGGCCTTGCAGTGCTGGGGATCAGGGCTCCTGTGCAGCCGGAGCACCCAGCGCCTGGGGCACCGCTGGCAGCCTGAAGTGCGAATGCACAGGAAGGCCGGATCCGGCCGAGGCGGGTCAAGCATGGCCAAGCCACAGGGCTCACATCACGTGGACGTCGAAAGGCAGACCTCAGATTCGCAGCGGGGCCTGTGGCGCTGCGCCAAAGGCGGGCTGCGCAGCCGGCTTTGCTCCCGACCGTTGAAACTCTTTCTGCCAGTACAGCTCCTTGTTGCGGTCCTCTGCAGATTCTCCAGATTTGGAAGAGCAACGAACATAGCAGGCCACCACGCCTGCAAAGTGGAGACAGCCTCCTCCAAACGAGCATTGCAAGCTCGAAGTTCGCGTGCTTCCGTTGACGCCTGAGACAGGAGGCTCAGGAGGCCTGAGACCGCCTGAGATAATCTGGAAAGGAACGGCTCCTTGTTGCGCTCCTTTTCCAAAGAGGCAGCTGTTGCCCGAGCCTGGTCAGACGTCATATGAGATGCTCGGAGTTCTGAAGATCTCTCCTGGGCCTCCCAGACCTGCAAAGCACAACTCAGCAGCTCGTTGTACACCTCGAGAACTTCTATCAAGCTGCTTCGCAAGCGCAAACACGCGTCCAGTTTCGATTGGGTTTTCCGCACACTGCCATGTGTGCCTCCGCGAAGCCACTCCCCCGCTTGGCTGCAGCTTCCAAGAAAGCAGCCTTTGCTTCGGCCTTCAACGTGCATGACGCTCTGTGCACTTCCATGCCCTCTTTGCCCTCTCCTGGGCTGCTGCCCGGTTCAGAACTGGCGTTGCTTGCGCCGTGCTGGCCTAGCACTGTTTGCAGCCCGCTGCTCCGCGAGTGGGGTCATCGCATGCAAGCCCCGCACTGCATATCGATCAGAGGTCATCGTCGCGTCACAGCTCACCGTGCTAGCATTCAAGGACCTGTAAGCGCTCAGCTTCATCGAGACTCAGCACGAACAGTCCGAAACGAGGCTACAGGGCGCGGCGAAGCATCTGCAACAGGAGCCTGGCTTTCCGGATCTGAACTTGTGGAATTCTGCATGGCTTTAATGTCCGGCCTGGGTGGGGCTTGAGGCTTTTTGGCCAGGCGGTGTCGCCAAGTGCCTTGCGGCTCCTTCTGTACTCGAGCAACTCATATCTGAAGTTGGCTTGCACATGCCAAGAGCACAGTCCTGTCTCGTGCAGGGCCTGGGCAGTGTGGGCATCTATCTGGGTCTGACTTGTGGGGGCTACTGAGATACGTAGCCGGCAAATTGCAAAGATTGTACAGCGCGCTCCAGGAAAACAGTTGCCCAAAGAAGCTACGACGAACAGAGCAGCGAAAGAAGGCTTCTCCAGTAACTATGCACGTGCGGTAAAGCCTGAATTGGCTGGGCGACTGGCCACATTTTTGTCAATCGCAACCTAATCGAACCGAATGTGCTCCATCCGTTTGCCATGCGTCTGCAAAGCGCCTGTTTTGGGAGCGGTGATGGCAAAGTCGCCGGTGCAGGCTCAACCTGAGGGACTACATGTTCAGGAAATGATCTCTTGTATTGGTGGTTAGATCAGACGCAGGCGTCCTGGCTTGAAGCAGCAGCCTCTGACCTGTCTTGACTACTTGCTTCTCTTGGCCGTCTCACATACCGCAACATGCCGGTTGCACCGTGGCTCTGCGGCAGTCGCACTCCTGGCGCTCACGCTGCAAGGTGGCAGGCTTCAACGAACTGCGAATCAGAGGTCGGGCCCTCGTTGCGAGGAATCCGCCACAGAGTTTGGAGACAAAGACATGGCAAGGCCTTATTCAAGTCGCACACACATCTTTCGTTTGGCTTCAGAAACAGGAAACCCACCTTCCGCACTGCGCTGCGAGCTTCTGATCTTCGAAATGCCTGGCAGCTGAGCTGTGCAAACGAAAAGCTAGAAGGCTCGAAATCCGCTGGCGCTGCAGCTTTCGAGCCGGCGATTCTCCTGCCAGTTCAGGTGGATCCAGGAGTCCAGAATGAAGCGTAAACAAGCGCAGCAAGCGAAGCAGCAATCGAAACAGCAAGCGAAGCGAGCTAGTCGCCTCCTCCAAAGCATTGATCCTGCCCTTCAGCTGCTCGGCGGGGGCCTGAGCCGCTTCTCAGACGAAAGATAGAGTTAGAGGAACAAGCAGTGATCACGGCAACGAAGGTAGTTCAACAGAACGAAGCGCAGCTGCCTGGAGACGATCATCGCGAGCATACCTGCAGCTGTGCTCGAATCTTCTCGAGCAGAGAAGCAGAGAGAGCCCGCGAGCCCCTCATATATTCGCTGCCCAGGTACACAACTCGACAATGTCGGTCACTTCGGCTCAGATTCATTGGAGATTCCCTCACGGTAACGCATGGCCAGCCATGGGCAGTGCACGGCACAGCTTCACAGCTTCAAGCGAGTTGTTGCACTAGGTTCGGGGAGCTGTTCATGACGAAGCACTAACATACGTGATCAAACGGGCATATCCGACATATCTATGATGATGGTTCAAAGTATCTGGGCCACAACACCGAGAAAGACGACAAGGCGAAAGCGACGAGCCATCACAAAGCCTTTCCCTGTCGAAAGTGTCGCGTTGACTCAAGACAGCGGCAGCTGCAAATGTCGTGATTTGCTGCCTCGTCCACAGCCTGCTCTTCATGCACAATCCGAGACTGCTTGCCAAGGCGTATCTAGCAAACCAGTATGCTTATGGCTGCTTCTCTCCAGCAAGAGCTACAGGCTGTACCTTTGTGCAGACTTGGCATCCGAGAGCTCCTTGCCACCCTCGCCAGGCGCCTCCTCGCTTGCGACGAAGACTGGGATGATATTGACTGAAGCTGCAGCTTGGGCAAGAGCCGTCAGCTTCTCTGACACCCGCTCGAAGATGGTCTGCAGGCGAGGGTCACCATCAAGAAGATCAGTCGCTGAGTCCTGGCTGACGGACAGCCGATGGCCCCGACTAAACCACACGAGTTACTGCTGGTTAGTGCGATGCCACGAATGCTGGGTCCTTCAAGATTGATAGGCGGACTTCCTGCACGGCCCAGTTTCAGCAGCTTTTAGCCAGGTGCACATGGAGGCCTCGAGAAGCTCTTCGAGGGCAGCTGCCCACTGATCTTGCTTCACCTGCCGACGTGGAAAACTCGACTCTGGAACTCCGTGTGCTTTTGCATTTGCAGTTTTTGTGCCTCGGCTCTGGGACTGGCCACCATTGGAGCGGCCACGCAGGGGGGAAGAGAAAATTCTACTCTCCGGGCAGTGTAAACCAGCTACCCAGCTTCGAAAGCACTCGGGGAAGATTTAGAAATGGCCAGTCTGGACACGAAGCCGAACTGCGAAAACAGTGTGCGCAAACTAAAATTGTGGCTGGAAGCCAAGTGGAATGAGCATTGGGTGCATGCCACATCAAGTCAAGCCACAAGCATCCCCCGTGCCCGTGCACCGCACTTTGGATGGAGCGTGAGTGAGACTGCTTGATTCTCCAACCTCTCAGCAAAACATTGGTTCTAGCCAATGACACACTGCTGGTTGCCGCCACCACGTGCAGGTTGAGGATGTCCTGGCAAATGCGGAAGCATCTATCACTGCATGTCTATGCATTCACTGCCTTCAGGTATGCATTCACTGCCTTCAGGTGGAGGCGCCGAAGGGGTGTCCATTTGGAAGTTAGTTTGCTCCTGTGCAGCATGGTCAAAAACAGGCAAGCATGCTGCATGCTCGAAGCGCCTCCGAACCCGCTACGGCAGTAGGTTGAGAAAGATATAGCACTGACGGATCGCTGGGATCAACATAGGCCACCTTCACAAGCCAAACTCAACACTCCATCACAGCGATGCTGCTGGCAAATCAAACTCTCCAAAGCCTGATTCAAGCGACCCTCCTGCGCTGCTTGTGCCTCAAATAGAGAGCCAATTGAACATCTCATAGTGGCTTGAAGGCTAATAGTGAGCCCGAGACAATGGTGTTTTGAGAGTTCTGCGCCTGTCCAGTTCAAAGCCTCTGGGCTGAAGCTGACAGAGATGAACCATGCCTGGACCTCCGACAAGAGCTGGAAGAGGAGTTGCAGAAAAGTATCTTGGCACGATCGGAATCGGATCGCATACCGTGACGCGCGCTCCGAGGTGAGTGCTGCAACCTCCACTGCGAAAGGTCAAATAGAAAACCTGCGCACTCAAGAAGTCACTGAAAGACAAGAGGCTTACCTGACGGGGGTACCGTGTCTCCACCCAACAGTGGGGCCGCCGTCTGGTCCTCATAATTGGACATTGCACCATCAAGACAGCATGTTTCTGCTGAGGCAAGTGCGTTTTCAGTTCCAGGGAGCGGCCGTGTGGATCCAGCTAAGTAGTTGGCACCTTATTGCAAGTCGGCCGTACTGTGGTTCACACGGCCTGGTCAGAGCGAGGCCGAAGATCGGCTGCTCGAACTTTGGCTTCCTGTCGAGCAGACACACTTCTGTATACCTTTTACTCGGTTCGATGCCGCACTGATTCCGCCATGATCTGAAAAGGTTTGGTTTTCGTGTGGTCTGCCCGCAGGGCATGATTTGAGATGTTTGCGCAGGAGCGATGACGAAGCAACGAACACCTGCCACTGCTGCACAACATCCTGGTGTGCTGTAGGTGTTTGGTCAAGTGCTTCAAGTTCTCCAGGCTTGTGGATGAGATCTCAGTCAGGCCGGCATGAAGTGGCAGGTTCACGACCTGGCAGCTAGGGACAAAAATCAATGAGAAGAGATCACCGATCCCGAAAGCTAGTGGGACCAGGTCTTCAGGGCTGCGGAGCGTGCGGCTCTCTTTTTCCGGTGCACACCCCCACAACTAGGAGCAGAATGATCTGAAGAGCCAGCTTTCACGACTGAACTGAAGATTGGAACACGAAAAGACCTAATTTACGCGAGCTGTCCAGTTGCCTTTCCCTATGCTGTGCTAACCTCCCAGTTATTTGCCATGCCCGGTTCTTCGGGATGAGAGAACACTCCGGCGGTCCGATAGCCTGCGCTCCAATACTTTGGTACAGTATGCTCGGACATGCTGCGAACGTAGGTCGTTGGCCTCATGTAGAAGTCGTTGGCATGGCAGTTCAATAGCAGTGGCATGGTTCGGGCCAAGGCTACAGTAGGGTCGTCTGGAATCCATGAACCTACTCCGAACAATCAGAATGATAGGCATTGGTTCACACCCCCGCCCGGCCTAAGTGTCTGAAGTGGGATCGCGAAGGATCGAAAATCTTGCCGACATGACTTGTCCTTGCATGGCTCTCGCATCGGATCTTGCGCAGTGTTCATCCGTAGGGCCGCAGCCAAAGCAACGAAAACGATCCGCTTCGAGGAGAGAAAGAAGGAGCCCCTGGTCCACGTGAGAGATGACATCTAGTTTTTGTCGCTGTGACAGCTCTGAGGGCAAGGCCTGCCCCAAAGCTTGCCTCCACGGGGGAGCGAGCACTCAAAATCAATGTTGTCCCGCTTCAGGACAAAGGCCTCAAAGCGCACAGACACGGCCAGAGCAAAGTTCCTTGCAAAGGTCACGGTAATTGCCTCTCCGGTTTCTGGCATCGGGAAGAGCGACTGGTTGGCTCCATCCTTTGCTCTGCATGTTGGCGATGTGTCATGTACTTCCAAAAGTCAAGCGGCCTGTGCCAGCAAAGGGTTCACTGCCATGGCAAGAGCTACTGAAGCTTTCGGGGCCTCTTTACAGTCTTGTGCCGTTGTCGGCACCCTGGACCCTGTAGATCAAAAGCGTGTCTTCTATCAAAAGATGCACCAACAGCTTTGTATTTGTCGCGGCATGGTCCGCGATGATCCTTTGAAGTCTTCGACCCACGAATCGCCAGCAAATTCTCCATGATATTGCATGATCTTGTCCGCACGGGTACACTGCGGAGGACTGGCCCGCTCATTTTTGTTGCAACGCACTGCGCTAGTCCGCTAGTCATCGACGCTGCCAAAAGCAGCTGTCAGAGCTTGCCGGAGCCGTTCAACGGCCTCTGCCTGCTTGATGTAGCAACAGCGATGAGTGATTGCATCGAAAATGCATCAAGATTGCTCTTGCATGCTCTCCTTGCCCGTGCTTGCTTTTCAGCTTGCTGTTGCCTTTGTCTCCTCTCGAACGTCTGATGTTGTTTTTGCCCCGTGCGCTTGCTTTTCCACCTCATTCGCCTTTTTATCCTTTTTGCTCCTCCGAATCCTCGTGCCAGCGTCTCAACGGCCTCTTGGCAAAGCTGGAGCATGTGCGATGTGTGCGAAGCTGGCCTCCGCCACGCAGCTTTGGCGCAGCTCTATTGCCGCATCGGCACGCTCCTTGCCAAAGGCTTCTGAGGGCGCGTTCCGGAAACCTACTTACTTCTCAGAACACTCTCAAGTCATGGAGGACTGATAAAGGAATCGATGTCTACTTTTGAAAAACCAGCATGGAACATGGTAAAAGACCTTCTGCACAACCTCCAGCTCCATGGCGAGCTCTCCCCGCATCTTCTCCAGCTCCGATGCCCTTGCCTGTCAACTTCCCAGCTCGCGTGGCACTGCCGCGCACTAACATAGCGCATTGTGAGGCTACGTACTGCGATGGGGGTTTTCACTCAAGCAGTGCAACATCAACTGTGGCCTGACGACACTCTCGATCGATTTGAATGACGGCAGGAAGATTGCCTGCCCTGCAGGCACTCAGGGTAAACTCCATTAAGCGCACGGAACGTTTCAGAGACCGTCCTGGATTCCGGAATCACGACCTGCCCCAACAGATCGACACTTGACATGGGAGGCTGCGTTGCTTCTCTGCTTGTAAGGATCCACGAACCGAGGAAGCAACTTGATCGTCTCCATCGGCTATCAGTATTGGAAGCTCTGGAAAATCGAGGGGTGGCAACCTGACAGGTACGGTCCAAGCACGGCATAACTGCATAACCCAGCTGGACAAGATCTCAGACCCTCCTGAATCGCTTTGGCTTTCCTTCGCGGCACCTGCTGCGAATGTGGTGCTCCACATTGTCCGATGAGGACGCATGCAAACAGGCACTCAAACAAAAGCAACCCACGACTGAACACTGAGCATCATGGTGACGTCATTCATGGTAGATGTCACATCAAATAAACCATGCTGATGGTGATGGACATGATGATGATGGTGATGAGAATGAAGCATGATGACGGATTTAATGAACGAGGCCCCTCCAGCTGCACTTCAGACCCGTTTCCTGGGAAGGTACGGGACGACTCTCAAGTCGAAATAACAGTCCTTCCTGGTTCTCATGGTCAGGGCCTTCAGAAGGTTTGCATGTAGGTGGGCACAAAGCCGTATGAGCCGGTCGAGTGACCAGGCCGATGTTTATGGCCTTGCCATGCCTGGACCATCCTGATCCTGATGTCTTGCTCGAGAAAATCGGGAGAGCAATGCACGGCAGCAGGGAGCAGGTGACTGGCTATGCTGTGCCACTGCTGACAGCTGTTGGCCTCGGCATGCGGGTTCTTGAGAGTTTGAGGGCGAGGCTAGAGAGGGTATTCAGGTAGTCATGATGCTGGGCGCCAGCTGTGAAGGAGATCGGGCAAGTTTTGTGTACGACACACAAGGGAACGTGGAAAGGCAAACAGCAGTCTCTGCGTCTGTGGATGCACTGACGCCGGCGGTTGTATCGGGTCGGATGAAGCATGGGTGGCATACGGTGTCACGTACATCACATTTGTGGCATGCTGTCGGTGTGCTGGCGCCTTGTCGATGCAATGCATACAGGTGCAATTCAACATTTGAGGAGCTAGGCGGCAACTAAACATCTCGAAGCAAGATTGCACAACGCCTGCTTTGTTGGCCTTCTGCTTAGAGAGGTTGTGCAAGCAGCCATGGGCAGCATTCTCCGGGCTGGTTGCGGACATGCTCGGGGGCGGATGGCAATAAGCCTTTTGTTCGCATTACCTGTGTCGGCCTTGCCACGATTGTTTATGGTGGCTTGCAAGCGTGATTCATTGTGGAAGAAAACACGAAGCAGAGGGTACCGTCCATGTCCATGCTGACTTGAGGGTCTGGACTTCAGGAGACGACGTTGCATTCAAGTGCTTCTTGGCTGATCTGCGATGAGGCTCGGGTAAAAATGCGGTATTGAGTGCAGGTACAGGTAGGATCTCCAGAAGCCTACCTCAACACGTCAGATCGGACGAACTCTGATGGTGCCACCCTGTGCAACCCGTCGTGTCTGCAGATGACCCGATGATGACAACCTGAATAAAGCAGATTGCCGTAATGACAGGAATGCTGTAACAAGCCCATGAAGCTGCCACCCCCCTGTAAGGTTACGTACTTTCCTAGTGGTTTCATGCAGATGCACTTGCACCAGACCTGCGTCTGCGTGAATATGGTTTCGAATTTCAGGGGCTGCACATCTTGTAGCACGCTGGAACGGCCATGCAGAGGCGTGGCAGTGTTGCAAGAAGAACCGTCACCGTATCAAGGTGTGCATACAGGGGAGACAAGCTGGCGACAAAGAGGAACAGCAAAAGAATCTCCAATTAGTTCGGCCGGCACCCTCTTCCACGTCGACCGCCATGATTTCCCTGCCGAAACATGCTGGGCTGTTTTTCTGGCTAGGTCGATTACACCGCTCTCCTTGTGTGGGCTCCGGTCACTGCGGATGCGCTTCCTTTCCTTCGACCGAACACAAACGAACGTACTGAAGTCAACGAGCACTGTCCGGGTGTCTGCCTGGCGAGCTGGCACACGGGGACGTCCAGCAAGCTGCGCTTTCAATGCCTGCAAAGGGAGCTTCCTGTGATAGGTGTGCTTTGTACCGCTCCCCGAGCTCCTCTCTTTGCTTGTCCATGTTTCCGCTCTGCCGCTCATCCCCCTGATCTTCAACAGAACCTTCGAAACACTCCAGGACAGATTCGATGAACCAGTGAGGCCTTGGCGGTACCTCTGAAACGCCCCCGTGCATGGAAGGCAAGCTTTCTGCGACTTTCTAAATCTACCTGCAAGGGCACCAAGGCTTGACTAGATGCCGTGCCATGCGATGCCATGCCGTGCCGACAGAGCTAAGGCACCTCGTGCTCCCGGTAACGATCGTCTCCAGAGCGGGCACGCGCGGCCCGCCCCGCAAAGTTCCACCTGCGTCGTCCTCGTCCGCTGGCTTTCCAGCTAACAGCAATGCCCCTATTTGCACTCAGTCAGGTGCCACTTTGCGACTTTCTTGCCTGGGATGACTCCAAACACAGCTTTTCTGCATTAGCTGTTGGCAAAGGCTGAGAGCATGTTGCAGCACCAAGGCTCCAAGGACCAAGGACGCATTCAAATCGAAAATTACCGGTGTGCGGTTGGTGTTTTACCCTCGGATCCAAAACCGGTCAGTCCATGCCAGTGCGTAAACCAACAAAAATGAATTATTTGGCGTGGGTACCATGACATGTTCAAAGCTTAAATTTTAATTCGTCTATCTGTAGGTCAGGACATTGTCTGTCGTCACCTACTCTCCCCGGTGTCATTCCTGTCGGTTTCAAGGGTTGTGTAGCTCGGTTTTCTTCACTCTTTCAACAACCCGACAGATCAAGCTCCCTGCATACCCCTGCGTGTTCAACGACTTCGGGTGCAGGGTTCACACAACTTCAGGCATTGGATTCGATGTTGAATACTTGCTGACTAGGGTTCAGATTGTCCGGATTTAGGACGTTGATCCAGAGGGGCTTGAAGCTTGAATACACAGGTTCACGGTGTACACCTCCTCGCCCTTCGTACTTATCACAGGGCTTGCGATATCCGGAACAACGAGCCGAGTAACAATGCAAAGTCCCTGCAAGATGCGTCTTAAGCTCGAGCTGCTAACACCCTCCTTCTCCTGGCTTCACCCTCTGGGTCTAGAAGTGCACGCCGGAGTACCTGCCACAAACGCAAAGGGAGCACCAGGGAACAGTCGCGTATGATTTTGCAACGATGCGTCCACACCTCCTCCTTCATGATGGCCTCCACTTCTGCTTCTGCTGCCTCAGCAGCCTCAAATACTTAATCTCTGGCAAGGACAGGATAACGGGCCAAGATGCCTTGCCTCGACGGCATCCACTGCCTGCACAGCGGAAAATTCCGACACACATGTATGCCGAGCAAGGGCAACAACTGCGACGAGCGACAGACAGGACCTGACGACGACAAAATTGAATTAAGGTTCAGATTGCATCTATCGTGCAGACATGTTGCAATCGTGCCACGTCGGGCCACCAGCTACACTGTCGCAGGGGCCCCACCCTTTTTCTGCAGGTACGTCCAAAAGCTTCGTGCAAGGTGGGTTGTGGATGCCACATGCCCCTCCAAAGGCTTGGCAACGCGCACACACGCGCACCCCACGAAAATGGGGTTGCCCCAGCAACACCAATGGCCACAGACACTGAGCAAGAGGGGCCAGGCATGGGTGCCGGGGTCCCGGAGGTAGGTGCGAAATGCATGCTGCAGGCCGGTGCCGCATGGTGCCGCAAGCCTGTGCCCAATACTGCGCTGCTAGCGTGGCGTCCAGTGTCCCTGGCAAGCGCTTGCCAAACAGAGAATTTACATATCATGTGAAGGTGTGCGTTCGGGCCAAGCTTCCGTTTTTTACCGGTTCGGGTTCAGGGGGACGGACGGCAGAAAGCTCGGTCGGACACTCCTTTCTTTTTATACCGTTGGCGACAATTCCAGTCGGTCCCGTCGGCCGGTTCAGTTTGAACCGGTCGGGAAATGTGCAGCCGGGCGGAGAGGGCGCCGCCGCCATTTCCTACAGGGCCGGACCGGACCGGAGTTGGTGGAACCGGAAATCCAACCGGAACGCCACGAGATTAGGCAACTGTCATCAGACAGTAGCAGACTTGATCCTGGCTCAGAAACAAGTCGGATACTACCGGATAACAGAAGACCATCATTGGTTTGCTTAGCAAGGGCTCTTATGAGCAGTTTTCGTTGCAAAGCAAAAGGCTTCAGCAAGCCACGGCCGATATCGTAGATGTTCAAAGGAGAAAACTAGTGCTTCAAGAGAAAATTAAGATTGTGTTTTCGCTTTGTTCGTGTTAAGAAGAGAATCTTGTCCCCCCCTCCCTCCCTCCCCCAATGGTTCCGCCCCACCTGTGGTGTGGTGTGGGTGGTTGTGGGTTGCTTCCCCCCTCCCTGTAGGTGGTGTGGTTCGGGGTTTGGTTCGCGGTGGGGGGGGAGAATACCATTAAAGAATTGGGGGGGAGGGGGGGGCGGTGAACCCAGAACCGGGATCATGTATGCCTCATCTGCCTGTCTCATGTCATGTCAATGTGTGACTCTCTATGCCTCGGCCACCGCCTGCGCAACCGACTTCGACCTAGACTCGGTGCTCGCCGCACCGTCGTCCGCCTCGAAACAGGGCGGTTCAACACAGCAGCCTTGATTCCCCTTCAGGTACCAAGGTCCGCACATCAACGCTGAGAAGATCAGTGTCAGTCGCCGGTCGAGCGGTTGTTTCGTTTTGTCCTCAAGCCGCAGCTACGTCGTCACAGCGTCCTGTCGTGCTGAGATGCATTGACTCCTTTGAAGCCATGCATCGGCATCGGCGCCTGCAGGTCGTGTCAGATGGACCAGGCGGAGACAATCCGTAGGACTCCGTAGGACCCAAGAGAAGCAGAACGGTCCTCGACGTCAACAACCTCAGGTTCACTTTGCCTGTGCGGTCCTGGTAAACACGGATGCGCGGTCAGATCGCGGCGAGCACTGCACTCTAATCTGGCATGAAGTCACTGCACAGATGTCCTCCCCGGTCTCCGGCATGCTCCTCGTCTTCTTCCTCGCACGTTTGAGCATGTCTCCATCACGTATTTGATCGGGCCATACTTATCACCGCACGGCGTGAACACGTCAAGATAACACAGATGGGCACATGCAAAAAGTTTCGGTGCTCCCCAGCTCCACAAAAGAGTACGTCTTTCCCCTCTTGCGCCTCAACATCTAGCACGTGAAGCGCCGACAGAGGGAGTCCTTCAAGATGCCACACTACATCCGACTCATTACGGTTCCTTCCAGGAGTCCTGTGGATGGAGTTGTCTTTGCCTCCTGTCAGATGGAACTGTCAAAGAACTCATCCTCTTCTGCAGGGATACTACGCAACTTCCAGAAAAAACTGAAGAATCAACCAACGTGGGCCAAAGAAGGTACACGCAAGCGTCACGCATTGAGGGCAGGTCGGTGCAGAACCAAAGCAGAAAAATCCGGACTGGCAACGCTTCGGAGCTAGCTTCCACGAGGACTTTGTCCACTCGCCAAGGCATCAAAGGCTGCGGACTCTATCTCTCACTTTGCCAGAGGCCTCTTCGTCATCATGTCTGTGCGCTCTCAAACGCCTGTGAGCATCTCAGATCCAAGCCGAAGCCAGACCCAGTGCTGGTCGTCATTCCCCCAGAATGCCAAGAATGACCTTCCATGGCTGCAAACACAAGAATCGAGGACAGCTCAGTGCCAGGATGGCGGACTCTTTGGCATCGCAAGGATCCATGACCGGGACTCGGTAGCCGCTTTTCTGCACCTCGGGCGGGAGCCTACCTGTCTGACCACGAGCCTAAAGCTGCAGCTGTAACTGCCGTGAGTCCCGCACAGGCTGCACTGCCATTCCGCAGAGCATCGCCAGCGCGAGAATCACGAGTTCGTCACCTTTAAAAGCACTTCGCGTCTTGGTTACAGCCCAGACGGTAAAGCCACGAAGCTGTTTAGGCAGACAGGTCATCGTGTGAGTGTTCTGCTTGTGTTGAGACAGAAGCACTGGGTACGAACCTCGACTTAGAGATTCCGTTCGCTACTCGCACTTGGCTCAGGACCTTCCTCGCTTCCACGCAGCGACTCCACCCATCTGCCACGCACTGGCTCCCATCCCGAATATTTCGTTGACAGAGAAGACAAAGCAAGCGAAGCAAGCGAGTAACTGCCTGTCGTAGGTGGGAGGGGTTCCTGCATCAGGTAAATGCACCTGCCAAGTTGGGAATGGCTGCACGACCGCCAGTAGCTGCTCCATCAAGCAGGCCGAAGCTGCAGGATGGAAGAACGGAAGGAAGAACTCCTGCCCATTGTGCAGCTTACTGAGGCATTCGGACGGACCATGCGGCACCTTGTCATCCCGCAGCAACTCGCAAGCCGCATGCCGGAGGGCATCTGCCATGCGACCTGATGGTACAAGCCTTCGTGCTGGAGTCATGCACACGTACTACATCGTCCTCAGCGAGTCATGCGTTTGCCTTTTCAGACGGTTGTTGATTGTTGGATTTGTACTTCGCTGCGTGGGATGGGCGCCGGTACGAGGGTGCTGGAAAACTGCCGGCATGCAGCACTCTCGGATGCTCTTGGCAGTAGACAGAAGCGGAGGATCCGCTAAACGTTGTATTGGGGACCGCGGCAAACCCGACAAGCGTCAGCGGCACAGAGGCAGAAGCCTAGCGTGCTGCACCTGTCTTGCAGGTGTTTGTCGATGAGCTTGGGGATGGCCTGCAACTTGTTGGCTTCTCGGTGTGAGAAGCTGAGAGAAGCTGAGAAAAACGAAAGGAAAGTCAACACATGAAGCGACACTTTGTTTTCAACCCGCTGGTGTTCCTTACGGCTCCGAAGCTTCACGCTTCTCAGCCGAAGCCTTTCAACTTCAGGCATCACTAGGGTGAAGCTTGCCTCCTACAAATGAACACTGTTCAACAGCAGTGATGCTGTAGCACCTCATTCAAGATTGAGCTGGTCAGGACTTGCCAACGATGCCAACGATGCCGACCGTAGTGTTCATCTGTGGATATCCTACTGCCTTTCATTTCATGGCACCAATACAGCATGAGCTGTGATGGCAACTATCTGTTAGGTCATTCAGCACCTTGGCGTCAGCGCTTCTGAGGAAGCCTGGCAACAGACATGGCGTGACATGTGTCAAGCAGAACTCCCACGAAAGAAAGCAGCAAAATGCAAGGTGATGATACTAATGTGTCTGGAGGACGAAGAGGCCCTCTCCGGTTTCGATGCAAGTGCCACGGTGTCTTTAACCTTCGCTTAAAGGCTTCCGAGTTCGAGCTCCCTGCGGGCTCCCTGGCACGGGCCTTGGCCGGATAGACCTGGCTTGGCAACAAACTTCGGACATGATCGGACTTGGAATTTGCAGGACGTCACAAGTCGCCTCGTCACAGTGAGTCACACATTTTGTTGGATCCGAGATGTTCTGAAACTCCTCGCCCAAAGCCTTCATGCCTTGCAGATCTGGCATGCAGTTGCGAGCGAATATGCGAAGCATCAGCTTTCCGTGGCGCGATTGCCACTGACATTCGGGTCGGGGCCAAATCTCTGACACATCACCTACGCTGCACAGGTGTTGGCAGTGTGGCCACAAACCCATCTGTAACCGTGCATTAACTTAGTCAAGTGTCTTTGCATCGGTGATTGTCCAATTTCGGCCTCACCTGAAATTGCATGTGCATCTGCTGCACGGGTAAGCATCAGTTCAGCACAGCTCAGCACCAATCCGTCACAGCTTGGGTCTGCTGGAGCACACCCAGCAGAGCTGCCAGTCCCAACGTGCGCAGCAGCACCTGGAACTTCATCACTGCATCCAGGTTATCCGACATCCAGGAATAAAGAAACCTGAAGATAGACCGAGGAGGCCGCCATGCTGCCGGCACAAGGGCTTCAATGGAACGGGGTTTGCTGAAGGTAGTGAGAGACGGCGGCAAAGGAGTCAAAACAGACAGCCAACGAAACGATGCAAACTGTCAACCCCCGGTGCCCGACTTTTTGTTGCACAAGCACGTAACTGTCACTAGAATCACTAGAACCTACTCGAAAATTGCCTGTGGCACTGATTCACACTGCTGGGACTTTGCATGCGCGCACTTCAAAGGCTCGTGAACAAATTCCGGTCATCGAAACGCCCGGCCAGGATGCGCAAAGCAACACGGCAGACGGCAGACCTTGCAGATCCTCTCGAGCTAGTTAAGCTCGAAAGACGCTGCATGACAACTGGACATATACACAAAGTGTTGCAAGCACTTCTCGCATGAATTTGCATAATTTGCTGTTGCTAAACTTTACTGCTGCCACACTTTCATGAACCACTCTCAATCACAAAACCCACTAACTGAGAAAAATGAGAACCTGTGTAAGCTCGACCTTTAGCACCAGATATTCGTACTCCGCATCAACTTCGAAATTCACGCAGATTTCTTCTTTAGCCCTATGTGCGCGAGATCCAACATGGGCTCCACCAGATCTAGCTCCATCATGAGGCGGGCCACACCTATCATCAAGGTATCACCATGCGATTCTGGAGCGCTTGGGCATGCTGAGCACCCGGCCCAAAAATGTGACGATGACGAAGAATTGGATAAGCGCCACCTCGTGATTCGGTCACGGCTACAAAATAGCATAAGGTACCTGGCGAACTAGAGGAATGCTGGAGAAGGCTATTGCTGCAGGAATACGGGCACATCCAGCAGCGGACACGGCGTGGACAGTATCTAAAATTCTTGAGTGGGGAAACTCCCAGTGTTCATTAGGGGCAAGGAGTGATGCGCGAGGATGTGAGAGGTGCGAAGATCCTGGCCTCCACCAACACCAGAAGGATCCCCCACAAAGAGGTTCCAAGAAACAGGTGCAAGAGGCGAAAGACGACTCCGACAGGAGTCAGCATCAAAATGCACCTGCAGCTGTGAACTGCGCATCAGACATGTTCTGATGTCTACAGTACACTGACCCTGGTGCCCTCTGAATCCATCCCCAACTTCTGACAAGCCGCCACGTGCCAGATCTACGCCAAAATTTGTCAGATGGGTGCGTCAGACCCTTCTCGTCCAGTGCCGGGCTCAGTCGGAGGCCGTAGATATATGCCATCGCACAACAGGTCAGAAAGAAGACCGAGGTATGAAAAGCATGGAGTGCCCAAAGCAGGAAGTCAAAGTCGTACAGCAAGTCACCAAGGCTGGCAGCACTGAGGGACCTTACGAGGCCGGGCCAATCACATGGGATTGGAGAAACTCTCGATGTAAGCCGGGAAGCATGTCATGCTTGTACTGGAAGGCCACTAAGCCTGACAGCGAGCTTAGGGCACCATCAGACTTATCATATCTTATCATGATATATCTATAACTGCAAGTTGCCGCCATGAAACCCAGCAGGCAAGGTGCACAGAGAGTGTATAGCCTGTGAAAGACGGCAACAAACTTCAGAGAAACCAGAACAGGCTTTAGGCAGAATGCAACAAGCTATTACTTACTAGTAACGTTACCAGTAGCTCTTAAGAGAGCGACATGAACACGAAGCGGTCGACGTCGGGAGCCAGCCCTGGCAAATTCTGACGCCAAAACGTGGAGGCTTCTCGGAAGACGAAGCAGACCTGCAAGTGCTCAGCAGACTGCTCCGCAGCTCAGCAACATCACTGCCTCGAATAAACTGCAAATGCCTGAGGGCACGACACAGACCATGGAAATGGAAAAGCCCCAAGTATACACAGCTTCGTACAAAGGACCAGAAGCCATGACGTCTGACAGCATGACCTCAGCCAGCCGGCAATGCGCAGGTTTTCATGTGTGGCCGAGATCCAATTTTAACCAGCCTGCAGGTATTCGCTTTGGGACAACAGCCGAACAACCCGAAAACATGGTAACAGATGTGACAGTGCTTGTTCTACCAATTCGGCAAGTCACGTTTGGAAGCACGACGTCACCACGCCAAAGAGCGATCACCTTCGTACATCTTGGCTTCTGACCCTCTCTGAATTCTCTGACCTGGGGCCTAGGGCCGTCCGATCCAGGCCCGCCAGACGATGTAAGAAGACATTTCCGACATGTCATCCACCGCAAGCTCACTCTTGTGTTCACACGCGACCATCTTTGATCGCCTACAGCAAGCAGATGTCCCGTCAGAAGGCATCACCAACCACGCCCCTGCAAAGGTGCAGCGTTATTTGATTTGGGCATGGGTTTGGGGTCTTGCCAGGCACCACCGGCACATTTATCGCTCAAAACATCTCCAATCTGGGCGTTTAGGCCTTCTCACAAAGTGTTTCGCTTCCGTCCGCATCAGGACCACAAGTGACACAAGAGCTGAGGCTCCATCACAAAAAGGCAGCCACAGGCACAAGCGACACCTGATCCCTTCTGCTGCCCGCATCATTTTCGTGTCCATACAGTCCATGCAGCAGAGATGCTGGTAGCACAATGTTGAGTACGGTCGCCGGAATCCAACCAACCGCGGCCACGCAGGCTCTGAAGCCCATGATGCCCTGCACCTTACACAGCAGCCAAAGCAAAATACACGCAATGGAATATGTGCTCGCCACCAGTCAGGCTGAGGCACCTTGCCCTGGGGGGATTGCAACATCTCGGCACCGCCACTCGACATGTGTCTTGCACAGTGCCAGTGCCTCAGAGCTTCGTGCTTGTTCCACTAGCAGCCACCTCATGCGTGTGCAACTGGCTTTCCAAAAGCTTTGGGCAGAACGTCAATGTAAGGAAGACTGTACCGGCAGTCTGTCTTCTATAGCTACATCTTGCTTGGACCGAGTTCGAAACGTTTGCAGGACAGCACATGTACAAATCCGCCCGCATCAGGCCAGGTGAGGTCGTCGGATCTGCAGTGACATGGTACAACGAAACATTTGCCAGCGCCTGAGCAGTTGGTGCAATGGCTTCGATCTGGTCACCAAGGGTCCCCAGAAGCTGCGCATCTTCGCGACCTAACCACGAAAGTGCGCAACGAAATACGTCCTATACTTGCGGTTGCCCTGAGTGGACCTTGGAGTCGCCGATCTGCCAAAGTGATCGCACAGGTCAGGAACCTCTGCGTTTCTTGAGGCTCAAACCGGCTTCACTGCGAGGTTTTCTCCCAGCCTCTCCCTGAGGCCTTCACATGCAAGAGTTGCTATGCTTCTCGCTGTACTGTCCTGGACGGCGCGAGACACAGCCCAGTGTCTTCAGGCCTATGCCCGGGGCTTCCAAAGATTCTGCAATTCTCTTCAGACTCAAAAATTTTGAGTTGTCAGCCCAGGTCCACGACTTCGACCTCATGGCAGACGCAGCAGAACCCAGCCAGTTCAGAGTTCAGCCTAGCAGTGCCCAAGACTTGGCCGGACGCGCTCATGCCATGATGCTTCTTCGCCAACTCGGGGTACCTGTTCCGCCGTGTGCTCAAGGTGTACATCGGCTTCGCACTTCAGTCGGTCACACGGTCGGAGTCGGCTCGCAAGCGGGCCTGCAGACCACGGCCGAGGCGAGCGGCGAGAGCAGAGCACTGGCCCAAAGGCCTGGCTTGTCTTGCCACGGAGAGCCAAAGCAGCTGGACAGCCTTGCAGCTCTCACAAGTCAACTGCCATGGAAGGAGCACTGCTCGCCGCTGGCCTTCGGATCGACATTTGCAGATTCTGCCAGGTTCCGAATCACGTCCTGCTCCTCTCTTATGTGGCCGAAGATTCCGCGACTTTTCGAGAGAATCTCGCTGGCGCATGATAGATATGATAGTGCGTGTGCCTCCTGCCCGGTCTGCATAGCACCGACTTGCCGCCACTCCTGAAGCTGTGGCATTTAGGGCTGTGCGCCGATTGAAAAATGCAGGGTGCCTCGAGCAGAATACGAAGGTTCTGCTCCATATCCTTGCTTCGCGTGCGAGAGCTTGACGACGTTACGACATGGAGTACCATTCAGCGCCCAACTGCTGGAGTGCTCTTCGCATGCAGTTGACCCTTTTCGGCACAATCTCGCGTATGAGGCCCTGAGTCATGCTACGACAGGCCAGCACAGAGTCACCACATCGACTGTGCGAGGCCTTCTGGACCACAGCAGCGGGTGCAACAAGTGGGAAATCTCCCGAAAGCAAAGCGGCCTCTGCGCCAGAACACAAACGGTTGCACGAGCGCTGGATGGACGCCAACAGCAAGCTGCATCAGCTTCCACCATGCTGCGGCCAAGGTCACTACCAAAGCACAGCCGCAAATTGAAAAAAATGCAAAACGCAACCGCCACCCAAAAACACCTCCACTCCACCACCATGTCAACCGTGATGACGCCGATGATCGCAAAATCTACACACGCCCCGCCAAAGGATGTTCAGGCTGACACTACGGCACTACGGAAGCACGACAAGCGCTGTTCCCTGGTCGCCAAAGTGCTGCTACCTCGAAAACTCTTTGGCTCGAGCATTGTCTGTGCATGTGCATTTTCTGCGCATGTCAAGTTTTTGCAACCACGTAGCAGTTGAAAACGTGACAATTGACAAACGAGCCGCTGCAAAAGAAAATTCTCCATCCCGCAAAGCGACACAGCAGCGGAGCAATGAAACCAACAGGCGAGCAGCACAGTAACGGTACTACGCAACACACAGAAGCCCACAGCAGACCAAGCCACATGCTGCAAAGCAAGCATACTGGTTAAAGCCCTGTGCAAGGCCGGCGCCAGCCCAGTGCTTACAGCTTTTCCACGTTTTTGCATGTCAAGGGCCCTGGCAGCGATCCTGATATCAATTCAATGGCTGTGCCTGCTGAACTTGTCTCACAACTGCACTGTTGATCAGAGACGACAACAACAACAACGACAACAACAACAACAACAACAACAACAAGGCAGCACGTGCGTTTGCCGCCGCGCGGGGTGTGTCTTTTGTCTTGGGGACGTTTTTTGTGTAAAAACGCAAATTCGTCGATATTTGTGTGGTTTTCGTGAACAGGAGGTTGTTCGGGAGCCTGTATTTGTCCAAGTTCTTTGT